TCGAATTCCCTATGTTTTGAAAAATTACATTTTTGCGGATCAGTCTTGCACTGAACCGGATCAGATTTGAAACCAAACAAAGAGGGAGATTTGTACCTGATACGGATACTACAAACACAAATCCCAAGGTGGAAGTTCATACTCAAATCAGTCTTAAAACCAGCCTCCACTGAAGATGGCACAATGTATAGGTGAAATTGATTCAGCAACATAGTTTTATGCAAAACCGAGATCTAACTGCTAGAATCGAACCGAGGATGATGACCCTGATATATGCTCAAATCAGTCCTAAAACCAGCCTCCACTGAAGATGGCGCAGTGTATAGGTGAAGAAGATTCAACAACACAGTTTTTTGCAAAATTGAGATCCAACTGGTACAATTGAACTGAGGATGATGACCCTGATATCCCTTGAATTTTTCTTGCAAAAATCTGAGGAAAACGGGTCTATATTAGTCCCAGATAGCTGATATCGAACTGGGAAAAACTAGGAGACGAAAGGGTGCAGAGAGAACAAAAAACTGCAAAAATATGAAGTTGTCTTGGACTGATCCGCCCCCTCCTCTTTTATAATCTCCTATGGAGCTATCTCCTAATCTAATTAGGAGATAATCCAGATCTAAATCAGATCTGGACTCTAATTAGAGATATACCTTATCTTCTTATAAGATTAAGTGCTCCATACCCAGATCCGAACCCAAATTTGCCCCATGGCACATGACAGCTTAAGTTGTCATGTGACAGCTTAATTAATCATATTAATTATGGACCTTAGGCCCATCAACTATAAGGAGAGTGTTGCATGGCCAACTTAGGCCTGATTTGTATGGTGTGGGACCCCACAATGACCTTGCATATGTACACATGGGTTCAGCCCAGCCTTTGTGAAAAGGCTTGGCCAAATTCACTACTAAACGCAGTGAACCCCTGAGCACATCACTATGGACTCAATATGGGCCCAACATATACACTTTAAGTGATCATTGAATTCAGCAATCCCATGAAGATCCAAGGATAATGGACTTAAGTAAGATAAAGCCCATCAAGTAATCAGCCCTATAATAGTCTCTTACACTTAACCTCTCGACCCATAATGATCAAACACTTCCCGACAACGAAGGACCTCTCCCTTGGCTACAAGGTGCAGTGTCACACTCTAATCGATTGGATCCTAGGAATTAAAACATTTTGCAAAAATTTTCATAAAACATTAATATATATATATATATATATATCGTAAATATATTTTGTAAAATCAGATTTCAAAACACTGTTGAAATTCACTACTGGTAGTTCGGGTTTCCATCAGAAAGAGTGTAAACCCTATCATTCGCTATGTCCGACAAAGGGGTCAATCCTATCACTATGATCACCCACTTAGGTGAATTCTCGTATTGCCCCAACATACCCAAGTTTTGACCCTTGATGGATCTCACTAATTGGCATATCAAAGACAGCCAATTCCAACACCTAGTGTAGTAACATAATCAAGTCTAGCGGTTATGTATAACTTTCCAGTTTTTCCCATCAATCTCCAAGGTCCAGAGCATAATTGGAAAATAGTTCGGGTTCAATGTTTCATCCAAACACACATTGCATGTGCTTTGGGTCTAACCCTAGTAGCTGAGACAAGTTGCCCCATCTTCTTTGGCAGCACATCAGTGTCAGCCTTGGCAGGATAAACTCTCCAAGTCTATCCCACGACTAAGAACATTCTAATCTAACACGAGTCTCATAAGTGTCCAATTTAAGGGGTAATTTCACAGAAACATACCAATACCAACATGAAACAATAATGCACTTTTATTCATTTATAATAAATGTATTTGTACATTAATCTGATTGGAGCTAAGGGCATACATTGTCTAACACACTGCCCTCTTTGTATTGAGAAAGAAGCCATGTTTGGAAGTCCTTCACCTTTTTGTTGTGAAAACATGTGGTTCAAGGATCCTTCTTTTAAGGGAAGGCTAAAGACCTACTGGGAAGAATCCAAACCTCTAGGGAGAAATAAAATCAGATGGTTTTGCAAAAAGTTTAAGAACCTTAAAGAAAAAATAAAGGCCTAGAACAAAGAGCATTTTGGAATAGTTAATGAGATCAAAGAGTCAATTTCAAAGGAATTTAGACCTATTTGTYTGACTGGAAGTCTTTACAAGATCATTTCAAAGGTTTTGTTTGAAAAGCTCAAGTAGGTTTTTCCATCAATGATATCACCATTCCAAGGACATTTGTGGAAGGTAGGCAGATAGTGGACCACATACTAGTGGCTAACAAGTGTGTTATCAAGGAAAGAATGGGCAGAGAGAAGGGTTTGGTGTGTAAATTGGATCTAGAAAGGGCCTGTTATCTAGTAAACTAAAGGTTTCTATTAGAAGTCCTAGAGAAGCTAGGGTTTGGAGCTAGATGGAGGCTATGGTTAAAAGGTTGTGTCAGCTCAGTCCATTTTTCAATTCTTATTAATGGGGTGGCAAAAAATTTCTTTTTGGCTAAGAGAGGTATAAGACAAGGGACCCTTTATCCCCTTTTCTTTTCACCCTAGTGGCAGAGGTCTTGAGCAGAATGGTTGTGGAGGTAGATGCATAGGGGCTGTTTAGGGGTTGGAGGATTTTTAGGGAGCAAGTAATTGTTTCCCACCTTCAATTTGTTGACGACACAATTCTGTTTTGTGAGGATGTTGACCTAGACATGGTGAGAAATTTGAAGTTATTGATTGACAGCTTTGTGGGCATCTCAAATTTGAAGATAAATTTGGATAAAAGTGGAATCATTGGAACCAACTTGGAAGAAGGGGGACTTCTAAGTTTTGCAGAAGTGTTGGGATGTGAGGTAAGGAATTGGCTTGTAACCTACCTAGGATTACCCTTGGGGGAAAACCCGAGGTCTAATGGATTTTGGAAGGTGGTCATAGAGAGGTTTGCAAAGAAGCTAGTCCTTCATAAAAGAAATTATATTTCTTTAGGAGGGAATCACCCTGATCAGAGCTATATTAGCAAATCTATCTATTTACTTCCTATCCACCTTCTGTATCCTGACCAAGATTGTGAGACAACTAGAGAAATATATGGGGGATTGCTTGTGGAAACCAAGAGAAGAAAGAAATGATCATTTGGTTAAGTGGGAACAAGTTTGCAAACCAAAGGAGAAAGGGGGCCTAGGGTTAGGAAACATTCTCCTTGGAAATACTGCTCTATTGGGAAAATGGTTGTGGAGATTTCCTTTTGAAGAGACGGGCTGTGGCACAAAGTAATAAGCATTCATGATCTGGAGGGTAATGGCTGGGATGCAAAACTTAATCCTCACGTAACTTCAACTTCTCCTTGGAAAGCAATTCATGAGGTATACCATGTGTTCCTCAACTCTATCTGTTATGATGTTGGCAGGGGTGACAACATACGTTTCTGGGAAGATTTTTGGATAGGGGGAACACTTTAGAAGATCTATTTCCTGAATTTTTTGCCTTCTCTAACCTCAAGGGTGAAACTGTGTCTAGACTGGGAACTTCTTCTCCTTCAAGTCTTAATTGGAATCTTGGTTTTATAAGAGGCCTTAAGGAGAGTGAGTGCATTTCTTTGATTGATTTGTTTGATATGTTGGAGACAACTTTTCTGGACCCAACCTTGAAAGATTCTAGAATTTTGGTTGCCTCCCCTGATGGACGTTTTACTTGTTCCTCTTTTTTCAAGCTTCTAGCCCTACATAGTTTCCAAGGGGTGGACTTCCTGGTGAAAGAAATTTGGAGTAAGCCTATCCCATAAAAAATTCAAGCTTTTGCTGGGAAATCTGCCTTGGTAAGGTAAATACATGTGGTATGCTACAGAAAAGAAGGCCCTTTTATTGCCTTTCTTCTCATATGTATGTAGGGATAGTGGAGAATTTATCCCATTTATTAATCTCCTATTCCCTTGTTTCTCGTATTTGGGAATCTTTCTATTCTCTTTTTGGCTACAGGTTGGACCCTCCTCAAGAGGTGGTGGACATCTTCAACCCAAATTTCTTGAGGCAACTAAAGAAAAGTGGGAGATTAATGTGGAAAGCTACTAAGACAGCAGTTGTCTGGGTGGTTTGGGAAGAGAGGAATAGCAGAATATTCAATGGAAGGGGTAGAACCATGGAGGAGGTAATAGAGATTATAAAAGTGAAGGTCATATTATGGATTAAAACTTTGGAGTGCTTTCGGAACTTCACAATTAATGATATCCTAAGGGCTTGGAAGGGGGTAGCACAGTCCTCTAGAGATAAAGAAAGAGTAAGAATGAAGTGGAAACCCCCACAAGGCAGCAAAGTAAAGTTGACCTTTGATGGAAGCTCCTTGGGCAACCTGGATATGGCAGGAATAGGTGGGGCAATCAGAAATTCAGAGGGCAGGATATCAGGACCAATTGGAATAGCCAATTCTGTGAAGGCTGAATTGTTGGCTTTAGTGCAAGGTCTCCGGCTGACAAAGCAACTAGGTTTCAGACAGATGAGATGGAAGGGGACTCAAAAGTAATTATTTCTTGGGCAAGATGTAACAGACATATCCCTTGGACTCTAAAGAATGCTTACAGGGAAGTTGAAAGGATTGCAAGAGAATTATATGCTGATTTCAAGTGGGTAAGGAGTGCAAATGGGCTAGCTGATTTCCTTGCTAAACAAGCAGCGGAAAGGCAGAATTTGTTTTGAGCTTCTATAACCTAGCATACATTATTTGGGATGACATGCTGGTCATCAAATTGTACTGTTATCTTACATATAATTAATTAATTCAATCAAATTCCTGCTGATCAAAAAATTTGTACAAAACCATACATATTGGTGAATGGCTAGTTGGTGTTTGTAGTCTGTGAGTGGACCCAGTCTTGTTGAAATGCTCAATGATATAGGAAACCAAGAAAATATAGGAAAGTAATACATGGTTAGGGTATAGAATTAAGACTTTTACATTTTAAAATTACTTATTCAGCCAAGTTGAAGCATTGGAAAGCTTGATTTGGCAATTATTTTATGTTTTCATGCAGGTGATGATTGAAGATTGTAAGCAGTTACCTGAATAACAAAATCTATGAAGGATACAGTACTGTTTTTGTTCTAGAATTGCAGCCTTTGCTGTCCCCATTTTCATTCCAGATCATTTAATGTGGGAGCTGGGAAATGTTTTTGGGATTCCAGGTACAAAAGCAATGGAGTAGGAGAATTTTGTTCTTGCTCTCTTCATATTCTTTCTGGATGGATTTTCCAAGTAATAGTCCTTCATTTGCAGCGAAGGCATTGTTGTATGATATTGGTCTTTACGTTTTTTTTTCTTTGGATAAAGCTGGAGCTTGGGCCCTCTTGGGGTTCTAGAACATGCATTTTCCGATTGTCTTCAAAGGAATTTGGTGCCGAAACAAAACATCACTGTTGTCGGGCAATGCACGTCAGAGGACTTACAAAAAAAAAAAAAAAAAAAAGCACGTCAGAGGACAGATGATCAGTTTTAAATAACATTCTCTATGTTACTTGTCAGTTGTGGAAAAACCATCGTCTTTCTAGAACCTCTGTTTACTGTTGTATAAGTAGAAGGAGAAGAACAGAATAGCTAGGGAGGACTCCATAACTGCACCTTGCATATTGTAACATTCGGTAAGAGTTCGGATCTGCACTCACCTCGGTCCATTCAAGCTTTTACACATCAGCCACGCATGAATCCAGATCTCACATGTACGAAGTCATTAAATGTCATGGTTGTCCTGTTATATGTCTTCCTCGTTTTTTTAAAATGTAAAATACAAGTCCGAAAAATGATTTGCCTGTCCAGTTCAAGAGAAGAGAATCGAAACAATAGAGGGAAAAATGACTACTGAGCAACCCTATCCTTTTCTTCAGCCGGAGGCGAAAACCTTACAGTACTGTAAGCTGGCATGTGTAAATTACATTCGAGCTGGAAAAAGAAATTACCAGTAAGCGTGAATAAGTGGAGACAACCTTTTAATTCCTAACAAACCTATACTATTACATAAGCCTCCGACGACGAGAGGGGTTATAATTTGAAAGGTAGAACTGGTTGTCAAAATTTTGTTGGTTTCTGGACCAACCTACATCCTAATTTTAAATGTACAATTGACTTTGACTATAAATTTCCCTTTAAATTATATATTTTATTTACATTATATAAAATATTTTTTACTTATTACACTTAATTTTTGTTTGTCTATGGTATCATTTGAATCAAACCACTAACCCACCATCTAAAAATAAAAATTGTTTAATTTCTAGTTTGACATTAAATTTTGTACTACACTTCCATCATTGATAAAATTATTTTTTATGTAAAAAAATTATTTCTGTTAAATATAATGAATGCACAATATTATAGATKTACCCAATATTTTATTTTTATGAATATATAACATTAGATATGTGCCCAAAATTTTCTCTCTTTTTTTTTATTTTTTGTGATTCTTTGCATTTTCTATTATTAAAAATTTTATTATTTGACTAGGACATCATTTTATTTCTAGTTAGATTTTGAATTTGGCATTCAATTTTCATCATTAATACAAATACTTGTTACATTTTATAGTTATTTATTTTAATTTTTTTATTATTTAATTATGACATTATTTATTAATCCATTTGACCCCAAATGGTTGAATTGCTTATCCACCACTGAGGAAAGAAAATAGTTTTGTTATCAAATTACTTTTCAAAATATTTATTTTTATACTATTAAAATTAATATTATGGATTTAATTACAAGAATTTAATGATGAAAAAAATATATCTTAAATATAACATTTAATGAGAGAATAGAAAAATATTTTTATTTTCAATTGATTTTAAATGTTCCAAATTTTTTTAATTTCTATTATTTATTTATTATTTAGTCGTAATAACATAGATTAAACCATTTGACCCAAAATGATTTAATTTCTTACCACCACCTAGATGAAAACAATTTTTTTGCAAGGTAGATTTTAAAAGTATAAGCTTTTATATTATTGAAATTACTAATTTATTAAGTAAGGATTTAATAGAAATTAATGATGAGAATAAACAAAAATAACTTAAATATATGATTCAATGAACATGAATGCAAGTTAATAACTTAAATATTGAATTTAATGATTGAATATCTTTAAATTACCTCTTTTCAATTCATTTAATATCAAAAACCGATTACCCTATTTGCCCTCAACTTTTTTATCAATAAATTTAAATATAGAGAAATAAATTTTGTCCTTAAAAATTTCAGAAATATTCTTAAGGGTATTTCTCTCTCTCACACACACACACACACACATTCTTCTCCACACTCTCCCTCTCAATCGATATCTCCTTCTCCCTCAATCTCTATTTTTCTCCAGTTGGTGTAAAGATCTCAATATTATTTGAAATAAGAGAAGAAAAATAAAGAAAAAATGTATTATATATGATTTTTATTATAAAATATATTTTTATTATATAATACATTATCAAGACAAGTTCGGGTTGGCCCATCGGGCTACCCGACCTATGAACATGTCTAATTAAGAGTCCCATGTTGGCAACAACCACATAAGCCTCTGATGAYAAGGCGAGGGTTTTTATAATTTGAAATGTGGAGCCAGTTGTCAGAACTTTGTTGGTTTATGGACCAACTTGTAGCCGAACTTTAAATGTACAACTGGCTCTGACTATAATTTTCCTTAATTTAAAACTAATCCAAAAGTAAAGCTATTTTATTATCGAGATGGTGGGTTAGTGGTCCAACTTTTCAAAGAAATTAAATCCATGGTGTCATAATTGAATAATTAATGTTTAAGTTTATTTTTAATCATATTGTTACTTTTGTTAATTTTCAATTTCTATCTTAAATATGACATATCTAAAATTCAAGTAATTAATTTGAAGAAAAATTTCTCACATTCAATGCATGTGCTTAATTACTAGTGGAAAAAAATGTGTCAAAACTCTTGTTCGCTATTGTAGAATTCTTCAAATCTAAGGAATGAAGAAGATAGTACAGTAGAAAGAATCAAAGAATATGTAGATATATAAATGTTCTCTTTTCAACAACATCAAAAGTTCATGATTGATACAATAAATACGCATTTAACAACATTCACAAAAATTGATTATCATGATTATTAACAAAGGGTAGGAAATTGAAAATTACGTACATTCCTTGACTTAAACAATAAAAGCATCTGCATTCTAACTCTAAAGGGAGTGGGGGGTTATATACATTAACCCGTTTCCTTTGAATCCTCGCATATGATGAATTGGTTGTCATCAAAGATTACGAACCAAATGAAAAAATATCGAATGCAATTAACTCACCTCAAGCATGTTAACAGAGAAATTGAAGATTGCAGGCAAAGCTCTGCTTCCCATAAGTTTTTGCGTCAACATTTAAATGCTCGAACTAGACTTTGATTTTGGGAATATCAAGTCCAACTCTGAGCACAACCCAAATGCTGAGAAAGTAACTCAATAAGTATATTCAAGGGGAAAATTCAATTCAGCAAAAAAGAAGGGTAAGGAACTAAAGAAAAAATAAGAAGAGTCTCTAATACCTATCAATCCGGTTTTTGAGCTTCAACCACAAACTTCTCATTATCCTCCTCTGCAGCTCTTAACAACCTCTCTAATAGAATCTTGTCCTGTAAACCGAGATTCTCAATATCAACTTCTTTGGTCTCACCCCTTATTCCAGACGGTAGACCTTTTCTTATATGGTTATAAGTGGACAGTTTCTGAAGTGAGAGTAAAGGATATATATATATATATGTGCTCTCTTTATGCCCGTTGTATACTTAGAGAAAAGGGGATAAAAAACGTCCGATGAAAATTCCAAAGAGAAGGGTAATTCGCTCTTTTATAGGTAATATAGATTTTGATGAGAGATGGTCAAATCTTAGAAATGGCATAGAGTTTGCTTTTTCAACCTAAACTTTGGGAATTTAAAAAAAAAAAAGAAAAAAAGAAAGAAAAGGAGCTCAACTGCCTTAACCTAAGGCTATGTCTGATTTAAAAAAAAAAAAAGTAGGAAAAGAAGGGAAACTTTTACAAACCTTGTATGAATTTCCTACTTTTACTTTTCTTTTCTTTCCCTACTTTTTCCTTCACCAAACAGAGCATAAATGTCACGGTGTTGTAGAATATCCAAATTCTTCGAAAGTTTGCAGTTTTTGAGCATAGAAGTCAGTGTGGCATTTGTGAGCCTTTTGCATCCTCTTAGCTTGATATCAACCAGATATTTACAAGAGACCAGCATGGAAACAAATTTTTTATCGAACAGCATTTCCCTATAAGACAACATTTATTAATGAGGGCCAACTCTTCAAGTCCACTATTCATGGCTCCTAGTCCTTCATTTGTGAAAGGCATTAACTTTGAAGTCGAAGGTTGACAAGACCCTGGAAATTATATGCAACAGCAAGTGGTTCTTATCAAGGTTAAGAGGTAAACGTCAAGCCTCTCTAAGGTGGACTTACATCGACCTGCAGGTTTTTTGCCCCTGACTGTAAAAGAAAAAAAGGAATAGCGTTTTATCTTCAATGGTTTTTTCTCTTTTATTTCTCCCTTTTTTTCTATATAAGTCCAGGAGGTGCTACACAACCCTCAGATAGCACGTCCCCACAAGTCACCCTTACAATATTTCTCCCACTTTATTGAACTGGATAGTCAAATCATAGTTTCTTACTTTTATTCTTGGTTTTTTTACATTTCATAAAAAATGATAAAAAAAATGGCTTGACATGAGGGGCAATCATGCCATTTAGTATATGTTTGGCATCGATGATGCAGATAAACACCTATTTAGAAAACGATGCTGCTGATGTGTGGGTTGGAAGCACCTTTTTATGAGAAAATAGTATTTTTTTTTTGTTTGGAAACGTTGCTGCCAGGTAGGATCTTTATTGGAGCAACAACAACGTTTTTTATTTGGTACCAATGCTCCAGGAAACATTTTTAGCACTAATACCTATTATCCAGTGCCATGTCATGTCCCCGTTGGCAATAACGAGTTGCAGCTCCAAAAAACGCCAAATTCGGCATTGTTCCAAGCCACGCCTTCCCGATTTTCAAGGCATGGCTTGGAGCACCATTTTTTATAGAAAAACGATTCCAAACAAACAGGCATTTCCTGGAGCACCATTTTTTCCAACGTGGCACTGATGTGTCGCCGTTTTCTAGAGCAATGGCATCGATGCCAAATAGATTGCTTAATGATTCTCCGTGAGTAGAGGAGATTTGGGCTCATTTTCATAAGGGTAAAATCAGTGATGATCCATCAATATTTGTCATGCATGTTGATGATGCGTGTTTTGGCAGCTCTCGGCTAGCAGGTGACTCGGACACCTAGCTAAACAGTTCCTAGCTAGAAGGTGGCTTGGATACCTAACTGAATAGTTCCTAGCTAAAAGGTTGCTCGGACGCCTAGCTGAACAGTTCCTATCCGGAAGATGGCTTGGACGCCTAGCTGAACAGTTCCTAGCTGGAAGGTTGCTCGAATGCCTAGTTGAACAATGACGAGCTATATAGTTTATTAGGGCAACCTACAAGGAAACAATGTCAATGTGTCTAGGTTGCTTTATCGAGGATGGGCACTCCGATGCTTGAGTCAATGAGGTGGAGATTTTTGAGAGAGCTAAAAGCGAGAGAGATCGAGAGTTGTGAGAGCTAAATTGTGCATACCTTCTGAGG